AAAGGAAATAAGCATACACAATTACATATTCAAAATTGGATGACACCAACAAATTAAAAATACATATATAATATCACCAATATGCTACAAATGTATTGTGCATTCCTAGTGTTTGCACTTCTCCAGGAAGGAAGAAACGGGAATATTACATTTATTTCAACTACCTATAAAATTTCCTTTGACAAGTTCAAGTCAGAAACGTTTCTGTGAGTATGTTCCGTCTGAAGTCAACCCACTGCACAAAACAAGACTTCCTGCAGTCCTCCATCCACGGAGCGAGCACTTTCAAGCAAGCTCACGGCCCTGACAGCACGGCTTTCATAGCTTCTGGCTAATCATGAATGAAACGGCCCAGTGACTTGACGGAAGTGTGAGAAAGAATTTTGGCCGAGGTAACAGTAGGGTACGACGCCATGACCACAGCAGTAACAGGTCAATGCACACAAGTTTACGCATTGGAAATGTCACATCTTGAAGACTTCAGAAGGGCACACATCACCTTTCATTTCAAAGACAGATGAGCTCAGTTCACTTCTCTTTGAATAACAGTGCTCGCCCAGCTCAGTTTGAATATATACAAAGGAAAGTCATCCAAAGTTTTCAAGTAAGGGTAAAAACCTGTAAAACTTTTGCATCAACTGCAAACGCTTATGAAAGAAGAGGTTTGGGTAAATCAAGCCCCAGCAGTCAGTTCTCTCATGCTTATGCCTATCCACACTGACCTGTTACACAAACACATCTACAAAGCCCAAGCATTTTATGCATTTTCACAAAAAAAAAGCAGTTCTGGGCTGGCAAAAAAAAAAAAAAACCTGGATTCGCATCGCTCTGTAAACAAGTTGGTCACAAACCAGGGACTTCTGTCATCAATGGCTCAGAAGCAGTATGAGGTGCTCAGGAAGCACAAAACTTAAACAGATTGTTCAGTTTCTTTGTTGCGGAAACCTTTATATGTCACTGACACTTACATAATGCTTTGGATTAATAGTCATAAAGACAGTGCGGTTATGTTCATTTGTAGGCAGGTTATGTAGTAACTCAGTTACAGCACTGTGGAAACTCTGTGAAAAAAAAAAAGAAAGTAAAAATGACCTCAAGCATCAATAAAGCGCTAAAATAATCATGGGTTGCTGCTGCAAATCCTGCAGCAGTTATCTCCTCTTGCCCTTGCTTTCACTGTTTGCTCATCTGGCAAAATCAATATCTGAAAGCAACTCAGGGTGTCTCCAATCATAACCTTCACCAATAAAAATAAACCATCAAAAGTAAAAAGTCCCCCAAAAAAAACAAACATTTGAATGTACCATATTTGCTCTGCACCCTACCAGCATCTCTTTAATGGAAAAAAACAATCAATAGTGCATATTAAGCAATATCCTAGTTTTACCGACTTGTGACTGGCCTAACAAGTGAGTGTTTTCGTGGCGCCTCTGAGCTAACGTATATCAACACGCATCAATGACGAGGCTGGTGTTGTCAGAAAGAATCAAATGACACGTCCCCAGTAAGTAACAAATAGGCAAACAAAGCATGTGAACTTGTCTATCGGCAATGGTTACAATCTGTGTCAAATCCAAATCAGTCAAGTAGAATAAAGGGACAGTCATCTGTCGAAAGCATTTAATCTGTACTGTAGAGATGGAAGGAAACTGACATTTAATACAGTGGGTGTCTGTTGTCAACAGGAAGCATATAATGACATCACAATTACCATGCCAGAAATTCAAAAATTCCTTCAAAGTAAGAATTAAGGATCATTTTCACACTATCTTGAGCAGAGTGCACAGCAACGCCAGGATCGTTGCATTCACTCAAGTGGCAGCCTGTTGTACCGAACACCATCAAGAACAGCCTGGAAGTCTTCCATAAGTGTTGGGTTAGATGTCAGTAACACCTCTAAGTTCCTGGCTGTGCTAAAGATTCATCCTCTTTCATGCTCTGGGTCTTTTCATGGCTTGGTGTTAAAAATCGAGCCATCTACACCTAGAAAAACCTACATGTGAAGCAACTGCCTTCAGAAATGTCAGCTTATATATAACAGCTGGTGTATTTTCATAGTGTTCTTCAGTGATAGCATATACATATGGTAGATGTATTTAAATTATCTTTAATTCTTACTGTCAAAGATTCTCTTGCTGTCATTGTAATACTATTATTAGTATTATTATTATTTTTGTGTAGGTAGACAGTTCTGGTGTCATTTATTGTGTAATTATTTACTCAACCCAATGTTTTTCCAGCCTTATGAGTTTATTTCCTCAGTGGAAAATAAATCCTGGCTTCTCTTTTTATATAATATGAAAGTAAATGAGGATTTAACTTTAATGTTAAAACTGACAAAAGCCACATAAAAAAGCATCATAAAAGTAGTCTAGAACATTGATTCTCAACTTTGTCCTCCATTTTCCAACACAATATCCAAAGATATTCAAGGACTTTTTTATGAACAGAAACTGTGAGTACTAACATATTACATTAACTAACCACAATTCATTTTGTGATTATAAAGGTTCCAAGAACTGTTCTTCAATTAGGACAATAGTTGTTGAGAAGGAGAAAAAAGAAATATGATTTCAGTTAACATGCTTTTTGGCATTTAGATTTAGTGTGAAAATGTTCTCAACCCCCTGGTTGGGGAACCTGGAACCCTGGAACCACTAATCTACATCTAAATCTTCAGATGTCATGCAACAGCTTTGTGTGAAGAACAGTCCAAAGTTTCAATTGTTATTAACTGCAAATCCTTAAAAAAGTACCATATTTCGATTCAAATTTGTTTGTTCAGTAAATAAGTTTGATACATTTCACAGAGACTGCATCTGAATTACTAGTTTATTACATATCTGTTTATTATCGATTAATTGGAAACACTATAATTTTAACAGTGGTCTTTAAATAGTGTGCAATGCTTCAGCTTTTAGACAGCAAAACCTTCACAGAAATGTTAATTCTTTAAATAATTCCTTATTACGGGACCGTCTTATAAGACTGTAAAGTCTTAAGGCCTTTCCACACTGAGGCCGAAAAAGCGAAACGAATATCGGACGCGATGACGCGCTGGAATAAAACAATACATTTCTATGGATGCTTCCACATAGACCGCGAACATTAGCGCACCGAAAATGCGAATGTTTTTTTTCGAACCAGTACGATGAATCTTTTCAGTTTCGCAAAGCGATAAAACGGGCCGTCCAATAAGATTTGAGCTAGGATCACGTGACCGGAGCAGCTGCTGTTGCACAAAAAGGCAAGAGTGGTGGCGCTGTTTCGAAAACCAGTGTAAACAAACACAGAAGAAGAATATCCCGGATAAGAGAAGAGAGTGGAAGCTGAGTTCTTATCGTTGGTATTTGAGAACAGATTTATTCTCACATGTTCTTTATATAGAATAACATTTCTATTAATTGTCCACTGAATTATGTAATCACAGTAGAGCACAGTCCGTTTTCTTCCACGTGCGTGAGTGTTATGAGTCAGAGCGCGTTCACTCTTTTTCTACACATGAAATATGAAAGCAAATAGACATATGATTATGACGATATATTTTCTGTATGTGTTTTGTATGCAGCTCATGGTATTTTTATAGCAATAAAGGATGTTTATGACAAATATTAGCAGTGTAGTGTTATTAAACATACAGAGTGCATGTGTCTGCTTATTAATCAAAATCAACTATAGATCACAATCGGAAGTTATTACAAGCACTCAATGATAGTTTAAAGTAGGTAAGCAAATACATTAATAATTACATACATTTTCAAGTGTAGCTTGATGCTAATTGTACTTCTAATTATATTTTAGGATGTAGCCTATTCTTGTAAGCATTATAGATGTGTTTTTCCGGAGTAGAACCTTGTTTATCTTCATTTAATGCGGATGATGTTAAATCCAGTTACGAGATACATATCTGAGGAAAAATGGATTGTTGGTCGGCGCCACCTAGCGTGCAGGCGTGAATTAGAAGGCGAACAATCGTTTCGGTTCGGTGTGAAAGCACCATTCGTCGGCGATTCGCCTCGCTTTTTCCGCATCGTGCTCAGTGTGGAAAGGCCTTTATTCTGTTCTTTGAGTGTCCCAGCCAAAACTGTTGCATCATTTAGATGATTAAAAGCACATTTCGAGACAACAGAATTATGTTCCATTCTGTTGCACTCTGTCTAGCTGTATTACGAAAAAATCAGTCTTGTAAACACCCCCCCACACACACCCACCCAAGCCCCAAAACATCATAATTATACAGGGCTTCAGATACTTAAGACAACCCACGACTAGTCTTTTTTGAAAATATGTTTACCCATTATTATCAATTACATTATTTTATTTTATTTTATTTTAATTCTAAAGGTGAACAGTGGCTGAGGATGAGTAAATGAGTAAAAAACAGCTGCACATCCTATTTATGCATCTGACCACATCAGAGACTGTTGAGAGTCTATTTTACCTGATAAGTGTCCCACAGGCGAATGGTGCAGCGCAGAGGAAGTTCTCTCATAAGCAGGTTGTTCATCCAGCGGAAGGCGAACTGCAAATACTCCACCTCATACTGCTGCATGTGGCGATGTACCGTCTCTGTTAAAAACCAAAACAGTACAATAAATCACCACCCTGACGTCAATCACCCCATTCATCTATCACAATTAAAGCATCATTATATTCTCTTCAGTAAAATTGGGACCAAACAATAAATGACAGCCACTCGACTGACACAACAACAACACAAATTCTCCTCGCCGCTTTCTCGCAGACACAGTTCACAGATGACAGCCTTCCAGGCGTAAGACATAACACCCTAATAAAGCCATAAAGAATGTCTCCGTCCGTGCAATCATGTGCTCGACGCTGCCATGTAAGCATGAGGTAATTACGCCACTGTCAACCCAACGTCTGAGCGTGTTATGTTTGAGAGGAAACAGCAGCTTTATTTATGGGCGTCTCTTTAATCAACACGGACACGCATGACTGCGTGTCCCTGCAGAAATATAGGCATCTTCATTCACCTCCTGACAACGATGGGATTCTTTGACCGTCACATGCATGACAGGTTTTGGTTGGGGGTGATATAAATATAAACAATATTTAAATATAATTTTATTATATAATATATATTTTTTAAGTCTCTTCTCACCAAGGCTAAATTTATTTGATTAAAACAGTATGCACAATGCAGTAATATTGTAAAAAAAAAAAAAATTACTATTTAAAATAACTGTTTTCTATTTTAATATATTTTAAAATTAAATGTATTCTTGTGACAAAAAAAAAATAAAAAATTCAGCAGCCATCACTCCAGTCTTTAATTTAAGTCTTAATATTTTTGTGGAAACTATAATACATAATTTTAAGATTCTTGAATATAAAATAAAAAAATAAAAAAATAAATAAACAAGAACAACAAAATCTCACTGCTCCTACGTTTTTGAATGGTCTGTATATAAAAGTAATTTCAGAGTAAATACAAATGTATAGACGATGTCGTCATAAAGATGAAAAAAAATAAAGAAAAATATCAAGCTCTGGCTACAAGCATACACCCACTCATCCACCCACGTCGAAGATCAGCTCCTGTCAAACCTCACGCATGTCTTGACAGTGTCATTCTCACATCCAGCTCTCCTGAATAAACAACTTATCCTCATTAACGCGGAACACATCTCACTGCCAAGACACAGAGCCGATAGACTGACAAAACAAACCAATTTTGCTTATTGGTGCTACAAATCTAAATCACCAGTTTTAACCTAATTAAGAGGTCAGTGAAATAAGGATGGCCATGATGATGAAAACAAAATAACTTCTAGTTTAACATCATGCTACAATTTCCCAAAAGTGCAGTCTATGCATGCATGGTGTTTAATATGCATTTAATACTTTGGTCACACATTAGTTTGAGGACCAATTCTCACTATTAACAAACTATTAACTATGACTTTTGCCTCAATAAACTACTAATTTGTTGATTCTTAATAGGTAGTAAGGTAGCTAAGTTTAAGTATGGCGTAGGATTAAGGGATCTAAAATATGGTCATGCTGAATAAGGCATTAATATGTGCTTTATAAGTACTAATAAACAGCCGATATGCTAGTAATATGCATGCCGATAAGCAACTAGTTAATAGTGAGAATTGGTCCTTAAAATAAAGTTACCAGTGCTTTAATATGCATTTGACTTTTTAAATCCACTTTCATCAAACGTGCGCACACACGCACACACACACACACACAGGTTTGTTTTTATGGTTTATGGGGACTCTCCATAGGCGTAATGGTTTTTATACTGTACAAACCATATTTTCTATTGCCCTACACCAACCCTACCCCTAAACCTTCCCCTTACAGGAAACTTTCTGCATTTTTAGATTTTCAAAAAAACTCATTCTGAATTATTTATAAGCCTTTTGAATTACGGGGACACTGAAAATGTCCTCATAAATCACCTTCTCGTTGTAATACCTATGTCATACCCATGTTATTATACAAATTTGTGTCCTCATAAACCACATAAACATGCACACACACACACACACACACACACACACACACACACACACACACACACACACACACAGCGCTCTATGCCATTGACTTGAATTAAATGTCTTGATGTTAGAATAAGCCTTGCAGCTTTATAAGCAGAATATGGTTGTCAGCCAACAGTACACATTTTCTTGCATACCTTTTCCACCTTCAATGCAGCAAAACACACGCAAGTTTTGAGGGGGATGGGGAACAGGCAGAGGTCAGAGTTCGCAGAAAGACAAGTGAGCTGTTTGCCACGATTCTGCTGAGCAATGGACTTCTGCTCGACTTCTGCCCCCACCCATCCATCCCATAATTACATCTGCACTGACCCTCTGTCTCGCCCTCGCTGCATTTGCAGCCAAAACCCTCTCGGACATCTTCTGTGAGATCTCAACAGCCGTATCTGTACATGACTTATACAAGCACAGCCAGGGTTATAATCATTAACTAAAACCAAAACCATTAAAAACACAGTTTTATTACTTGAAATAAAATAAAATAAAAACCTTAAACTTATTCTGTTTCAGCTAGTTGCTAAAGCACCATTTCTCTCTCTTTTTTTTTTTTAAGACAAACAAACAAACAAACATAACTATAAAGTATTTATATATATATATATACATACATAACATACATATATATATATATATACATAAAGAAATAAAATAAAAGTTGCAAAACAGCGAATTTGACTAAAAAAATATAAAAATCTTAAATGAAATATTTTATGGAAAAGATGCAATCTAAGTAAATGGCACATAATTGGAACAAGTTGAGGGTGAATAACAGAAATTGAATATGTTTAGCCAACTATCCCTTTAACCTTGGAACAGGCCACCTTTTACGCATTGACCTTATATGTGTGTGTATGGATTGTTTATTCACTGTTTCACACTGAATGCAGAATGAATTTAATAACAGATCTGGAGATGTGACATTTGACAGCAGTCACTCTACCAAGATTGTAGAGATGACATTTATAATCATGGCAGAAAACTGTTCATAACCCATAAGTCAAATTCCCCAAGTCCAATAGGATCAATGTTTAGAGTTTTATGTGCACTGCTTTTAATCTGACATTATTTCATATCTACATCTTCAGTCAAGGGGTTGATTCATGCAAAGTAAACGGAAAAAAGGCAATAATGCAAAGATTTATCGGAGACCAAGGCAGCACAAAACAGCAACTAAACCGTTATTTTCATCCATTCCAGGTTTTTTTTTTTTTTTCTCTCTCCATTGTCTTCCACATAGTTGACTGTGGTCCAAATGAATGTTTTCCTCCATATGTGACAGATCTGGTTTTCGGATTACAGTGCGTTCAGCAGAATTCAGGGTGTATCTGACATTTTCACTTATGTTCTAGGCTCTACAATCTGTTCAACGTGACTTAAAAGTTAACAGTGCTGTTGGAATTCATGCCATTTAATCTAACTCAATATTTGCCATAATTGCGCTTTTGACTCACCATGAAGAAGACAATGAAAAATGGTGTTTGACCTCAATAATATATGGATCACCTTGTATAAATATTTAATTTATTAAGTCTAAATGATATAATTTAATCATGTAGTAATTTATAATAATATAAATCCAATATTTGCATTTAATATTAATATAATCATTTATAAAATGCATTAATTAAAATAATAAATTAAATTGCTATAAAAAAACAATACATATTCACCTCTTTTTCAACTCCTCGCTTTCGTATAGTAATTGACATGAAACTTGACACTGACACTTTATTGGCATTGCATCTTTTTTTTTTTTTTTAAAAAGCTACCAAAAGAAATTAAAGGCATTAAAGGGATAGTTCAACTAAAATGAAAAGTCTGTCATTATTTTTATACCCTCATGTCATTCCAAACCTGTATATTTACATAAATAAATTCACCTTGAGCAATTTGCATGCTGATGAACTTCAATGTATTCATACAAAACAGCCGAGATAAGAGGAAACAGTGTTCACGTTCTGGGGCGCTTCTGACGAACAGAATTGTTTTAGCGTTAAACAACTCTTATGGGCTATCGTCTAATACGACTGCTAATTACTACAAGCCCTCGAACGAACTGAAAGCGTACGGTGACAATAGTGTGTTTGGTTTCCTAATGAGAGTGGAGTGTGAGCGTTAAAGAGACATGAAGCAAGTGCGCGAGAGAGAGAGAGAGAGAGAGAGAGAGAGAGAGAGAGATGGTGTTTGACCTCAATAATATATGGATCACCTTGTATAAATATTTAATTTATTAAGTCTAAATGATATAATTTAATCATGTAGTAATTTATAATAATATAAATCCAATATTTGCATTTAATATTAATATAATCATTTATAAAATGCATTAATTAAAATAATAAATTAAATTGCTATAAAAAAACAATACATATTCACCTCTTTTTCAACTCCTCGCTTTCGTATAGTAATTGACATGAAACTTGACACTGACACTTTATTGGCATTGCATCTTTTTTTTTTTTTTTAAAAAGCTACCAAAAGAAATTAAAGGCATTAAAGGGATAGTTCAACCAAAATGAAAAGTCTGTCATTATTTTTGTACCCTCATGTCATTCCAAACCTGTATGACTTTCTTTCTTCTGTGGAACATAAAAGAACATATTTTGAGAAGTGTATCTTTTTTTTTTTTCAAGTCAATGGTCACCAAAACAGTTTTCATTCTTCAAAATATTTACTTCTGTGTTCCAATGAAGAATGAAAGTCACATTGTTTTCAACAATTTGAGGGTGAGTAAATAACTGAATTTTAATTTTTAGGTGAGCTATCGTTTCAAGACGTCCAAAAGAAGAAATGACAACAAAAGGAATCAAATAGCTTTGTTTTATACAAGTTGAGGTTTTTCTGTTGGGATCAGAAAAGCAAATTTGATGTTCAAAGCAGCATTTGTAAAGAACCACCCCCCTCCTCACATATTCAACAGTCAAAAGAGACAAAAAAAGTAATTAAAAAAAATAATCTCCACTAAAAATGACCATCTAATTTACATATATAAATTATGCATAATATTAACCAGACCAAACATGATGCATTTTA